GAGCTGGGAGCTGGGGCCAGGCGGGCCTGGGAGAGGAGGTGGGGGATGGGACCTGTGTGATTCAGAAATTCGGCTGATTCAGCAGCAGCCGCATCTCTGAATCAGATTCGGCTGAATCAATTTGGGACAGTGATTCAAATCACCAAATCGAATCACTGTCTCCCAAATCAGCCAAATCCAAAGCAAATATTAGCCGCTTTGGACAGGCCTAATAATTATAGGATTGCTGACAGTATCAAGGCATTTCCTAGAGAAAATGGCCTTGAATAGTTGCTTTGAAATTGTGTATTTGGATTAATCAATTCTTATCACTTTTCACATGGAAGCTTTTTTCATCCAGAAAATCTTATGAAGGTAAAAATGTTGGTCTCATGAAGTAGTTTGTAAACTTTCTATGATAGATTGAGCAACAATCATTCTGAAAGAAAGCTACAGGTGTGAAGGGAGCCATTAGGACCCTCGTCTCCAACGGGCTAGAAGGCTAACAGAAAATGTTTGAAAATCACTGTGGTGTAAAAGTACTAGCAGTCTTGGAATGGTAATTCTAGCCTGTGGTTCCTAGGGGGCAGCATTTACTAAATATTTAAAGTATCCTAGTTCAATAAGTAAATTTGGCTTCTTATTTTGAATTCATGTTTGTGAGGCAAGTACTTTAAACCAGGTATATACAACTCTTTTCCTTTATCTTCATTTTTCACTTTTCGTCTGATGCACTGGAATAATGAAATGGCAGAAGTGAACAATGCAATAATGCTTCGTATTTTCAATAAATCAGCTGAAGATGAATAATTATATCCTGTTTAGACTTACTTAGGCCCCTTCCTGTTGTAGGAAACGACAAGGAAAACTTTTTCTTCAACTCCTGTAATTTTCCTAATGCCTGCCTGATACTTCAATGTTATTTAATGTTTCTATACTGGCTTTTTATCAAGTTAAATAAGTGTTTTGTAGCTAGCTCCATGTCTTGGAAATAATATTGTTTTTAACTATTTGCCATATTCTTCAGTTTATTTGCATTTTTCAGCATGCCAGATCATTTCAAATGTTTTTTCTTGTGTGTGTATTTTCAAAAAAATATATCTACAAAATAGATGTAGATACACATGTTTGCACCTGTGTGTGTGATCATGTATAAAGTCTACTTTGCTTAATAGTGTATTTAAAAAATCAAACCATAGGCAGATCAGAACTTCTAAGATGATTTACAAACTAGTGTCCCTCTGAAAATTACCTCAGCAAAGAAGGAATCTCAAAGCAAAGAGAAAATGCAATCTGTGCTGAGTACTTTCTTCTCCAGTGAATGAAGCAGATCCTTTGAATGTGAGTAAATGGTTCCAAAAATGTCTATGCATGAACACTACCGAAGTTCTTACTAACAGTAGTGGGAACCATCAAGCTGTGTATTGAATACCTTACAAAATACACTTATGGATGTTTACCTGTATGGTTATATCATGATAATAGTAATAAAGTTGTTCTTTATTATTGTTTTAACCAGGAGAAATTGAAGCTTTTGGGTATAGCTGGTGTCCAGCTATTTAAAAAAAAATACTGACAAGTTCTGTCACCTCAACTTCTTCTGTTACTGTTACACGATCTGTTTTAGTTATCTAGCTAGCAGATACTTAAATGAGAATTAAATGTGTACTAAATAGAAAAACCACCATGAAAGCAATATTAAGATTGCACATTACTCGCTACAAATAAGGTCATGAAAAGTAAAAGTGTAACAACAATATAAAACTGGGCCTTTTATGATCTAAAATATAATATTAAACTTTTAGTTTTAACAAAAAAAACACCACAAAAAGTAAACTACATCATGCATGCTGTGTAGATTTAAGCTAAATTTAATACTAGAACATCAGCTCCTGCATTCCTGACTTGGACTGACTTTCTATGCAACTCTAACTTTTTATGAGCATAAAGGTTTTTTGCCTTTTCATATTTATAAATATTTTGTTCTTAAAATTAAGAAGCCCTTAAAGTGGCATAATGTCTTAGTTGGCATACAGGATGAAATGTTTTTAAATTCTTTTAATATTTACAGTGACATAAGTGCTTACAGTTCGTTATTTGGAAGCCTTCCTAAGAATAAGGCAGAGAGAGTCCTTCAGACAGTGCTGCATGTGCACATTCTGGAAGAATTTTCCCAAACTATTGCTCTTGGTAGAAAAACATACCCAGAACCTTGGGTACAAGCACTTGAATGCTTAAGGCCCCAAAGAGGGGAGAGCTTATAGTGCTGACACTGCATCCTGAAGTGGGCCCTATGTACACATCTCAGCATGCTCTTTCAAATCCCTTGGTCTGCCTGGCAACAGGTGGCAGCATTCCCTTGCGTAGGGAAGCCCCGATTGGCTGCCCCACACTGCCGATAGTCAACCTGTGTTTCACTGCAGCAAAATGTGTGGATTGTGAAGGGGACGTGTTTTGCTGCCTGCTGGAGCAGCAGAGTCCAGCAAGTGACACACTGTCTGCCTGGCAGTGGGAGGCGGGGATGCTGGACAACTATGTTTTCTTCTGAAAGAAGTCACAGCATGTACCAGCATTCACCAACTCTCCTGGGAGTGGCTTAACTGGTTGTTCTCAGATTATTTTTCTTCTGGGGCAGCCCCTTTTACTCTGGGAGAAAAAAACCCTGAACATTGAACACTTGTTGGTTCTTCTGAGAAAGCAACAGCTCTCCCAGGAGAAACTGAATGTCTGTACAAGGCTGCTATAAGCCGTGTAGTTGCCTCATAGCAGCATAAGTGTCTAGCCCACCTCATCCTTTGGATGACCAACTCGTAACTTTCAACTTACATATGGAGGGTCTTAAAAAAAAAAGTAAACTGTTTGAAAATATTTATAAGGCCAAATTTCAGTTATTGCCACCAGAAAGCACATGCATTATAAAAGAGCATGTAGGGGGGAAAATGCCCAATTTTATTCTCATAAATGTGAATGCCCATGCTTTCATAGATTTCATAGACATTAGGGCTGGAAGGGACCTCGGAAGATCATTGAGTCCAGCCCCCTGCCCCAGGGGCAGGAAGTCAGCAGGGGTCATAGGATCCCAGCAAGATAAACATCCAATTTTTTTCTTGAAGGTATTCAAAGGAGGTGCTTGACCCACCTCCGGCAGCAGTCTATTCCGGACCTTGGGAGCTCAGACAGTAAAGAAGTTCTTCATTATACCCAGCCTGAAATAGTCATGAAGGAGTTTGTGACCATTTGACCTTGTCAATGAAGAAATAAATTGGGCAAAAATGCCTTAAGAATACAAGTAACACTGCTAGAGTCAACAAGAATCAAGATCTAAAGTAACAGTGAAAAATAAGAAAGGAACTTCTTAAGACAGCCCAGTAACAGACATTCCCCTAGATCCTGGTGAGCACCCCTGATAAACTTATAGGCGGCCACCAGATCACCCCTGCGCCTGCGCTTTTCTAGGCTGAAGAGTCCCATGGCTCTCAGCCTCTCATCATAAGGTCCTAACCTCTGATCATGCGCGTGGCTCTCCTCTGGACTCTCAAGCTTCTCCACATCCCTTTTGAATTGTGGAGTCCAAAAATGAATGCAGTACTCCAGTTTCAGCCTCACCAGAGCCGAGTACAATGGGAGAATGACGTCCTGGGATTTGCTTAAGAAGCATCTATGGATGCAAGCCAGCGTTTTTGCTCGCTTTACTAGCCGCAGCATCACGTTGAAGGCTCATGTTCATCTTGTGGTCAGTCATGACCCCCAAATCCCTTTCATCCATAGTGCTAGCCAGCATAGCACTGCCAAGCCTATAAGCATGCTGCGGGTTTTTCTTCCCAAGGTGGAGAACCTTGCATTTTTCAGTGTTAAACACCATCAGGTTCTCATCTGCCCATTTTCTGACCCTGTCAAGGTCAGCTTGGATCACCCTCCTGTCCTCAGGTTTGGATGCTTTACCCCAGAGTTTGGTGTCGTTGGTGAACTTGGCCAGTCCACTTCTGATACCAATGTCCACATCATTAATGAAGATGTTGAATAGTGTTGGCCCAAGGACAGATCCTTGGGGGGGGACCCCACTAGTCACAGGGCACCACAACAGTTGGCTTCCATCAACCACCACCCTCTGGGTCTGAACACGAAGCCAATTCCCCAGCCAGCAGATCATGGTGAAGCCCAGGCCACAGTTCGCCAGTTTTGCTAGGAGGTGATCATGGGGATACCAGATCGAAGGCTTTTTTGAAGTCCAGATATACAACATCAATCTCTTCTCCCTTGTCCAGGTGATAGGTCACCTGGTCGTAAAAGGAAACAAGATTGGTCGAGCAAGACCTACCCGCAACAAATCCATGCTGGCTATCCCTCAGGATGCTGCCACCAGCCAGTCTGTTAAGAATGGTCACTTTGATAATCTTTTCTAAGACCTTCCCTGGGATAGAGGTCAGGCTGATGGGCCTGTAGCTTGCCAGATCCACTTTCCTCCCTTTCTTGAAGATAGGCACCACATTGGTCTTCGGGCACTACACCAGAGCGCCAGGAGTTTTCGAAGATCCATGCCAGGGGCTGAGCTATGGTGCTTGCCAGCTCCTTTAGCACCCTGGCGTGTAAACTGTCAGGGCTGACTTGAAGGTGTCCAGCCTCTCAAGGTGTTCCTTCATAAGGTCAGCATTGATGGAAGATAAGGGATCACCCTCACCCAGGCATTCCCATCCTGTAATGGAGTGCAGAGTAACCATGAAATGACCCTGCATTATTTATTAATTTATTTACATTTATTTATTTATAGCTAATTTAAACACATCTAAGCAAAGACCTTGCCTGGGTATATTTGGACCTGAAAATGATATTATTAATTAATTATTGATAGCAGATCACCTTCCAGCAGCAAACTCCAGATTTGGGTTTGGGGTTTTTTTCTTCAAGCTATGTTAGAACATTTGTTACTAAATTCATGGCATGTTGGGCATTTTTGGTGTGATAGAATGTCAGCTCTGAGGCCTTTGGCTCTTAACAAAATGTTTTTGTCCATTCTCTTGCAGCTCTATGCTATTCCTTGGTTTCTTACAATGTTTACACGTGAGTTGGGTTTTTTTTCCTAATTTAAATATTAGCTATGTATTTGTATGTTTAACTTCTCGTGTTTTTCATGTACTGCACTCCTTTGTTTAAAAGGGAAGACTATGGAATCTCTGCTAGGCTGCTAGCTCATTTTCAGTCATGGTTGGCTGAAGTCCATGGAGACCTAAATCTACTTCTAGTGAAGACCAGTCGTTTTGCTTCTATGCACACTAGTCTTTTTCAAACGTAATGGGAAAAAAATCTGTGTATAATTTAGATTACTTATACATGTCCCAGACATCCCTTACATGTCCTTTCAACTCCCTTTTTTGAACTTCTCCTTAATTAGTCAGTTGAGTCTCTCTCAATTAGTAGGTCACTCCTGATCTGTAGCAGAATCATGGAGTTAGGTGAATTTCGGTCCTGAGCCACAGCAGTCCCATTCCATAGCTGTTGTATAAAGCTCTTTGTACTGATTCCATGACAACTGGTGCTTCCCTATTCTCTGAACTAGGTGCAGCATTGAATTCAGTTAGATTATATTACACAAGCTGTATTTAGAGTGTATGAAAGAACAGGCCTAATCTGGGAAAAGAAGTCTTCATGTACTGTTTGTGACATTAAAAAAATAAAACAAAGCAAAAACAACATTGTGAGGTGAGAGAGAGCAGCTTGGTATGGGCTGGGTTTAAAATCAAATATACCTTAATTGGTTTTATCTAAATTTACTATTACTTAGATATATTCTATTGTTTACTGACTTTATATTGTTTGTTGAACAATATTGTTGTTAACCTTCTTAAATTAAGAGATGATATTGTAACAAATTCAAGCATGTCACTTTTCCTTTAGCCCCTGGCAAAGCCGTATTGTCTTATTTCATGATAGCATTAGTGGTATTAAAAAAAAATCCAAAAAGCCCCCAAACTTGCATTCTGTTCTTCCCAGAAATATTTTAAGTCCTATGTACTGCTGGAATATCAGAGTTTAAAGGTGAAATTCTTGTCTGGGGAACAAAGTAGTGGTTCTCACTGGTGTCCATTTAAATATTGGTAGTCAAATGAATTGCATCTTTTATGAGAGAATGGAAGGAGGATGTCCGAAAGGATACATCGGTAGCATAGTCCACAAAAGGAAAGTGTTGGAGAACCACTTCATCACAGCAAACATTTTTGTAGAAGGAATTGGACTTTGTTCTGTAGGCACAATTGGTTATTTTCCATAGGCTATTCTCCCCATTTCTTCTGTTCTATTACTTTACCTAATTGCAAGTAATTGATAAAATTATGTTATTGTATTAGTTGGGACAAAGCTGTCTTCAGTTTTGTGAGCAAAGATTACTATTGATATTATTTTCCTGAAAGAAAAAGTTTTGCATATATTAATGGAAGAAAACTCCCATTTCAGAATACTGTCAGCATTGTAGTATCATACAAATTTGTGGTAGTAGTATTGGCATTTTTATTATTATCATTCTTTTTTTTGCTTTTTCAGTTTGTGTTAACATTGTATTATGTAATTGCAGGGGGGGAAAAGTAGACAATTGTCTTTTAAAGTGCATATTTAGTGGCAGGGGGTAAAAAAAATTAAAGGAAGAATTGAATACATACAAATAAATTTGTATATGAAAACAAATATATATCTAAACAAGTTTAATCCTATTTGCTCCCAAATTAAAAAATAGTATACCTCAGGCAGCAATAACATCTGTAGGATGTTTGTTATTTATATTTTCAAACTAGCAATGTTTATTTTAATTAAAACGTTGTTGCTTGTGCCATTTTTCAGATGTCTTTCCTTTGCACAAAATTTTTCACCTTTGGGATACCTTACTTCTTGGGAATTCTTCCTTTCCATTCTGCATTGGAGTGGCTATCCTGCAGCAGCTGAGGGACCGGCTTCTGGCTAATGGTTTCAATGAATGCATTCTACTCTTTTCAGACTTGCCAGGTATAGAAATAATATTTTTTCCCACTTTTCTTGAAAGTCTCCAGTCCTTTTTATGGACTTTTAGCCTGACTGAAGGCAAAAGAAATCTTCCTTTTCAGTGTCTTCAGCAGGGTTTGGGTTAGCTTATTATCTGTTCCACGAGGAGTTTGGAGAACTTGGTGGAGTTTAGAATATTTTCAAGTAATTTAATGAGGGAAAGAAATTTTGAACCATGCATGAACATGTCAATTTGGACAATTTGGAAGAAGTCTGGTGCAGAGCAACAAAAAATTATTAAGGGCCTGGGAGGCAAGACTTCTATATCAGGAAAAACTGAAAGAACTAGAGTTATTTAGACTGGAGAGGAAAAGACTCAGGTGGGATTTCATAAGTCTTCAGGTATCTGAAGTGATTATAGAGAGGATGTAGATGTACTTTTCTCTTTGGCCATAGGTGACAGGAGTAGAAGCAAAATGACTTCAGGCTACAGCAGAAGGAAATTTAGGCTGGAGATGAGAAGGAACTTTCTGACCATGAGAGTGGTTAGGCATTTGGAACAGGCTATATAGAGAATTTTTTGGAATATCCATCCTTAGAAGTTCTCAAGAGCAGATTGGCCAAACACTTGGATGGAATGGTTTAGTTGGAGATGATCCTGCCTTGACCAGTCCTGCCTAGACTAGATGACCCCATGAGGGCCCTTCGAGGCCTATTTTTATATGATCCTGTTCCACAAATAGTAAGTGGTACAGTTAATCAAAGTATTTTTTTAATGAAGTGTTCACTTAATTCTGCTTTGGATACTGTTACACTGGTTCTTCAATTACATGAAATAGTCTTCTCTTTTCCTAATGCACAGTTTTTGCTGCAGAAGCAAAATTACAAAATGCCTATTAAAAGACAATAAAAATAAATTTGTTAAAGCAATCTGCCCTTGAAATTACAAGATTTTGAAAGCATTTGCACACTAATGTGCAGGAAGTACCTTTACTGTTGATAGGAAACTCGGTTCTACCCTCCTGTTCAGTGGGATATGACAAGCCTTCTGGACATACAGTTCTTCCTAAAACATAAAAATCCAGCATGAAACTCTGGCTTTTATTTATGAGCAAAAACTTGTTCTAAGTGGAAACTAGAACATATTTCCTTCACTTTCTAGTTTTGCAAAAAGCTACTCATAGGAGTGTTCAGTAAGTTACTGAAAATTCAATGTCTGCAGTGTTTATGAATATTTTTCCTAGTTCCATTTTTTTCATTCTTCCTTCAATATTCATGCCATATTTTCACAAGTCTTCCTTTACTATTATCCTTCAACCTGCTTTCAGATATGCAGCTAGCATCGTATTTTCCAATTTACCGAATTATATAATAGATAGTATTTCAGTTTCCTTTGCATGCTTGCTCATTTCCAGTGTCTGTCTTAGAGTTTTAAAGGATAGTCTCTGAAATTCTGAGAGGAGTCGGTCAGTATAAAGGTTTTTCTTTCCTCTTCCGCAACTACTGGGTAAATACCTTAACTGCAACCAGGTTCATTAATTTTTAATTATTCCTTGCCGAAAGGCATTTCTCCTAATGTCTTTTCTTGAGTGATTCTAAATTGCACATGCCAGTTAATCTTAAGCCAACTACTTTATTTTATGAGCATATGGGTACTCTACGTCATAGTGTGGTTGTGTTATGTATAAGAGCATATTCGTTCCCATAGTACCGCAGACCTGTAACGCTCATAAGTTTTTTATGATAGCTGTTCTAGAATTATCTAATATTGTAAAGAATTTTGAAGATTAGTGTATACACAATGAAGTATTTATCTAATTTGATATTTTAACCTAACATTTAGTAGTAGGTATAATCTGTTTCCAGAAACTGTATTCACACATCACTTTCAAGATTTTGCTGATTTTAAAATAGGATAGTGTAGGAAGAATACTGTCCATCACACAATGAGCCAGATGTGTGCTAATTTTACATATTTTGACAAGGTGTGCTTTCCCTTAAATTCAACGAAATGTAGTTCACCAGCCTAGAATACTGGATGTAAGTCCATATGAAAAAGTGAATGTACTTTTGATGGTTGAAAATGCTGTCTAGATTCATAACAAGGATATACCTCCATTAATAAAAACTATTTTAGAAAATCCATCATGCTTTAAAAGTATCTGAGAAATATCAGAAGCCTGCTTCACCACTCTTTCTGGTGCACAGTCTTAAGCACAGGGGACTGTTAGGGAGGCACAGTGTGAGGGGCATGTCCCCCCCTCCCCCTTCCCCCCTGAGATTGGCCACCACTGGCTTCCGTGTGCAGTCGCCACTCACCAACCCCACCACCTCTCGCTGCTGCCACTGGCTTCTGTGGGCAGTCACTGCTTGCCACGCCACCACTGGCTTCTGTGGGCAGTTGCTGCTCACCACCCCTTGTCACTGCTGGCAGCTTCTGTAGGCGGTTGCTACTCACTACCCTGCCACGTATGCTGCTGCCCACAAACTGTTCCCCCCTAGTCCCAGGAGGCACTACACCCATGGTCTTAAGCCATGAAAAGGTATTCATTTCTAGGAGTAGAAATTTTCCATCACTAGAAATGTTTCCAGCAGAGGGAACAGTACAGGTGTTCAGCTTCAAACAACTCTCTCTCTCCACTGATGCTTATGATCCTGTCTGGGGAAAGCATAGGGAGCAGTGGGTGCTCCAGCCCTCTAGAGCAATGGGGCAAAGCTCCCCATCTACGCAGACTGGGGACTCTGATATGATGAGCAGGTGGGGAGCAGCAAGTGTTCCCCCCTCTCCTCCTGATTTATGAAGCAGCTACCTTCGTGTCTTGTCCAGACCCACGGTGACCCTAGTCTGGGGGAGGAATGGGAGCCTTTCCCCACCACTCAACTCCTCCTGATCCCCAAAAAGAATCACGCATTTTAGAAGTCTATAGGCATTTGTTCTCCCAGGAGAAACTCTCCCAGGAGCAACTTCTACCACGCTGAAAACAGGTTATTTTTAACCACCATTTTTTTTTTTTGTTTCAGAAGGAACTGTGTGGATGCCTGTATGCTTGTGAGTTCTACCAGGAGAACTGTGATTCTTCTGGCAGAAATGTAAAGCCCATACATGGCCTTAGTGAGCCTCTTTAATGAAAGTGTGTGTGTGTAAAATGCAGAAGGAAAGATAACTTGAGCTTCAGCCATCTCTGCTCCTATTTGGTTTTGCCTCAAGCTACATTTGAGTCTGTTCATATGTTACTGTCTGCCAATGATTATGGGAATAAAAGTTGATTATGAAATAACTTCAGTAAATTCTGTCATATAATGCCATGCTTCTTAAGTGTTTTATGATTGATTTTTGCTAATGGATTTTTACTAATGGTACTGTGGGAAACAAATTGCAGTAGCGCGATATCTTCAAACAAAACTTTTTTTAAAATGTAGATAAAAGTAACAAATAAATATTATCTAGGTTTTTTAGTACCGTCAAAAATATTGTAGCTAATAATTGTGGATTTAATGTTATGAAGTTAATACAATACACAGTATAGTTTGGCTTTTGAGAGAGGGAAATATTAGAAATGGAAAGTTGATCACCAAAATTTGGAAGTGAAATATACTATCTGTCCAGCAAAAATCCATCTTTGTATACAATTATCCTGGCTTTGGCTGAGTCTTGCCTAAGTAAAATATTAGTATTTGGTTTTTTTAAGTGTTTACCAAGCATGCTTTTAGTCACCTGTGTCCCCCTCATACAGGGTTTTCATTATTTTGATTTATATCTTACAGCATCTCTGAAAATTTCCTGAGACTAATTCATAGGCAAATTCTACTTGAAATGGGGTCACTCTGAGAAAAAGATTAAATTGTTCAAAAAATCCACATTGATTTCAGTCTAAAATCAGTTGTTGCTCAGCTTCCTGAAACTTCTGTGGTTTTAAGCTTTCTGAACTCCTGAATGGCTTCTCAGGCTACCAATAAAAGTGACTTTGCTTCCCAGTCTGATAACATGATTCCAGTGTTCCTCAAAATTTTCAGGTTAGTGTTGTCACATTTGTTTTGTTCCCATTAATGCATGCTGAGTCATCAAAATCTATAACTTCATTACAAAAAGACATTTTTGTCCAAATGCACTTGTACATTGTGCAGTTTACTCTTTGGGAAAGTTAAGGATGCCAGTAAAAAGTGGAGTAGAGGTAATGTCATCATAATACTTTAAATTAATCCTAAACCCCTTTACAGTGACTGACTTTCTCAAAATTTGGTGGTATCTTTTGATATACTAGGTAATACTTGACATTTCCTGGCAGTTCTATTTATGGATGAACTTCAATGTTTTACTAAGAATAATTTAGAAAGCAGAATATTCATCCAGTCATTCTATACAAATTCTGGCCATGTGGCATCAAGGTAAAACTAACCTTTTCTCGACAGGATGAGAAATGACCTTTTTTAAAATTCTCTTTACCTCCGATAGCCTGTCCTTACTGTACACCAAAAATAAACTT